GGTCAGGAGGGGTCTGCCACGCCCTGTGGGTCACTCAGACTGTTGTGGCAACAGTGCTGAGATGCACCCCTGTGTCACCAGGGAGACCCCATTCGGTTATCCTAAAAATCATTTTTAGGGCCCTCGCTGTGGGTGCAACAGGTTGAAGTGCAGCCCTGCACGCTGGCCGCAGCCGCTTCAGTGCGAGTTCGATCCCCGCCTGCCCCGGAGGTGACCACAGGGCGCGGCAGACCTCTCTTGGCCGCCCGCTGCTCCCCTCCGCAGAGGACTTTGTCGACCTGCCTGTTCTGCTCCCCACTCTGTCTGGTGTCTGCTCCCCGCCTCTGGCCTGTTCTGTGTGCATAAATAATAACCCTTAAAAAACATCATTTTATCCCCTCCCAAGTTTCCTTACATGTCTATTCATCTTGTCCCTTACTCCTTGAGCGTATTTATGGAGCTCTGAGTTCCTCACTCACCCCAACATCTGCAACATTTACGAGTGGGGCTCTACTGCCCTGTGTCCCGGTTATTCTTCTGCTCCCTGCATGTCCAATTCTTTTCAGTATTTGCTGGGTGCTTCATCCTCAAGGGTCAGGAGGGGCTCGCCTCTGCTGGGCGTGTCTGGAGACCCCCACTGAGGACCAGCACAGCCGTCCGGGGCTCGGTCCTTTTGTGGGCCGCGCTGAACACATCAGCGTCAGCCTTGCGGCCAGTTCTCCCCACTGCAGTGGGGGGACTCGAGTCCCCCCGACACCAGGGCCTTGGCATGTCCTGGGAGCCCCGGGCCCCGGCGCTGTGCCAGGGTGGCTCACGGCGCCTTCGCCTCTGCCTCACAGACGCAGCTCAGCGCGAGACGGAGGCCCGGGGGCCCCCAGGACGCCTGGAGCTGTGCTGGCCCAGCCCCGCCCCCATAGCCACATGCTGGCACAGCAACCCCCCCACTCAGGGGCTAAGCCACCGAGGGGCCGAGGGGCTGAGGTCCCCTTCACTGCCCCCCACACGGCGGGGTTAGGGCTGGGACCATCCCACTGTTCCCCGTAATAAGCTGTGAAGTGAAAAAGGGAACTAGGCAGCCTCAAGCCAACACAGCAACTTCCGGCCACCGCCCGCCTCTCCTTGGGCAGCCAGGCCGGCAGCCCCAGGCCAGGGCCCCCCGCAGCTGGCGCGGGGCGCCCGGGGCTGCAGACAGCACAAGGGTGGCCACGTCGTTCTCGCGTGCCAGAGAGACATGCTGCGACGGCACCGAGACGCCAGGGCTATGGCAAACCATCGGCTCGGAAGGCAGCGACGTAGGCAGCGCGAGCTAAGGAGACGGGCAGGCGGAGGGGCGCGCGGGCACGGAACGGAGCGGCGGCTGGTGGGGGCTCCTGG